ACCACAGAGAAGCTGGGTTTTCTCAGTTTTGCCCTAGACAGGTTAAAGTTGTATAACTGGCGCTCACTTTCTGGATAGCCACTGCTCTGGCTGACCTTGGCAGCCCGACAGCTGTCATATTTTCACATGGATGAACTGTTCCTGAACAACTTCTCCAATGTATTGGGAACAAACAAGCTTTTCTTCACCATCAGGAATGCAGCAGGTCTTCCCTTTCCAACTATTTTTTTTTTTCTCCTTCCACAGACATATTTATTGTGGCAATGGCAAGAAAATCCTACTGCTTAGCCTTCGTGTTTGAGTTCCTTTAAATTTCCTTTGGGGGATTGACAGGAGAAATGACCTACATTATGTCAGGGCTTGCTTTCTTTAATTTAACTCTTTGTTTTTCATAAACATGGGTATTAATTTGTGGTGGCAAGAAAACTAAGAAGGCAAAATCCTTTTACATCTTTATTGCTAGTATTTTGATTTTTGCTGTTATTTATTTGATTTGAATCACTGAGGTAGGTAGCAGTGACAAAGAGTGGGATGCTTCTGGGTGGATGTTGCACAAACCAGAAGCTTTGCAGCGGGCTGGACAAGGTGGGCAGTGGTGAGTGGCAGGGAGCATGTTGTACAAGGGGAGTGACCTCCAGTTTATAGTGTGCTCTCTGGATCTTCATCTGAAGGAGGGCAATCAGAGGATGGGTGTTGGGAAGGGAGCCAGCAGGGGCATGGAGCAGGTGTCAGAAGTCAGAAGCAGCACAGCATTGCGGGAACACAGTGGGGGCAACCAAAGAGGACTGGGGAAAGAGCCCCTCGCTAGCAGAGAGTAGAGGGCAATGGTGAGAGCATTTTGTTTAGAGAGCAAATGGTGAGTCCTATGACACCAAAACCTTTCTGGGAATGCAGAAGTTTTATAAGAAAAAAATCTTTATTTCCAAAGGGAATTTTCTGTCAGGTTGTAAGAAAAGGAGAGAACCCTTCCAGAAGAGCTACTAACCCATCTGTTAGAGCTTCCAGCTGGCATGCAGAAGATAGAAGTTCAAGTTATTTTGTTGTTGTTAGATTCACACTGGAATTTCATATTTAACTGAAGGTAATGGTTCTACATTGGTCCTTGCAGTTTCTCAGAGGTTTGTAGTAGCATTATACCGCAGCATGGAATACCTGCTCAGAGACTTTGCTGCTTGAGCAGTTTTGCAGCCAAAATAAAACAGCTAAATAAAACCTAAAATTAACTAGTTTTCCTCCAAACTGCAGTCCCATATCGTCCAACCATGCCCATATGGGATAAGGGGTGAAGCACAGAACCCTTTGATTTAATTGCAGTGTAAGTCAGTAAATCCAGGTGCGCTGTAAAAGTCTCCATGTTCTGGACCTGAGCTGACTTGCATGGAGTTAGCTTGTGTTGCTCTGTTCCATGTGCACCAGTGGTCTTCATGCCAGGGCTGTTAGCAGTCAGGAAGGGAGTTGGAAAATGCGTTCTCTTTGATTCATGCAAAAAAGAAATGTTTAATGGTAGCAATAAGTGTAATTGATGACTGAGTCGTGTGTGGCGGAAGAGCTGGTGTTTAGCAGTCACATAAGTTTGGAGAGAGAGTTAAAGGCGAAGATTTTATTGACGCTCCTCTGTTTTGCACATTTTTTTCATCTTGGGAATGAATTTCAGACCCCAGTGGTTAGTATTAATGCTATATATCCTCTGTGGTTAGTATTAATGCTACACAGCCCTGCCAAATGGGGAGAAAGTTAAAACTGGAAAAAAAATAGCGCACTGTGAAGAAGCTAGATGCAAACAAACAGAGATGGAAGTTTATGCTTACAAAGGGCTCAGCTCTGCTGGCAATTCTCCTGGACCAGTCCTGTCAATCTGAATGTGAAATATTTGCAGAGTGAAGTGTTGCTAATGAGCAAGGCTGGCAGGACTGGACTTGAGGTGAAGAAGGCACCTGGACAAGAGGTTTCAAGCAGGAATCGAGGGAGAATTAAGAGACTAGGGTGAACCCCATGGACCAGACAGTGCTGCTCTGCCCTTGCCCTAATCCATACAAATCTGTCTGCCTGTCGGAGCAGGGATTTCATTGGTTGGTGCACCCCATGCCAGCTCAGGAGATTCTTAGCTCTTGCTTGAGCGAGCATGGGATGTTTCCGTGGAGCTGGGGGGCTCCAGCTCTGGTGCATTTCCAAACAAAGTGGAGCTTATACTTTGTTTTGTCTTTCAGTGGAACAAAAATATGGCGCTTGGCAGGGCATGGTCTATAAACTGGTGAATTTGTACTTAAAATGCAGAGAACAAACTTGGCTGTGTAAGCATGATGTCTTGAAAGTTCCTCTGAAAATATTGTAGGATTTTTTTAAAGTTATTTTTTCTAGAGTTGATTTAATTCAAAGGAAGTTTTGTTTGCTTGCTTGCCTGAGTGTTTTTTTTTTTTTTTTTTTTTAATAGATTTAAATAGGTGAGTTTAATTTCTTCTACAGTTTATTTTTGTCGAAACTTCTGTAGGATTTGGGGGAGATGGTGCAATGGAAATGGAGCAGGACTTTGAAACTGTAGGTCAGTTTGCAAACCCCCAAACCCAGCTCTTGTATTTCATAGTGATTCTCCCAGCCTTTGAGCTGGAATGCGAAGTGTTTCTCCAGAGAGCTCCATGAGGAGCTTTCCACCTCTTCTGGGAGCCGTGTGTGGAGCTGCCAGCTGCACAGCTTGCACGTGCTGCACGGTGCCAGCCTGGGAAGGCTCTTCCCACCTTCTCATGGCTGTTGCTATCTTTCAGTGCTGATATTTTTGATTCTCCTATGTTGCAGCTCTGCTCAGGGTTGTGGTGTGGCACTTGGGCTGCAGCAGACCGAGCAGGCAGCTGCTGAACTCGGCACTCGGCAGAGCTGTGAACAGTCCCCTGAAAAACCCTGGATGAGCACAGGCTTCTCCCCAAAGAGTAAATGGTACTGAGGCTTTGCCACATAAGGGCCTGTTCAAGGCTGGAGGCACCAGCTGACAGGGATGTCTTTGCCTCCCAACAGATGGCCAGGCTTTTTATTTCAGCAAGCAATCTTGCATGGAGAGGTGGTCTCTGGATCCTGCCAGCATTTTGCATGACAGGGCCAGCTAAGGGCAAGAGGGATCTGATGTCCGTGCCCTTCATAGCGCACGAGCTAAATGATGAGCTGTTGACAGGAAAGCCATCATCTGAAGTGTAAGATCCTGAACTCTCCCCACTTTTCGCTTTTCTTTGGCGGAATTAATGCCCTATTTGCTTGTCTCTCAAAATCCATTCTGGCACGAGTACAAACCTTCGCCTGGTGGCAAGCAGTTGTCTGGATTCGAGATGCCAAGATTTGTGCTGACAGCTTCTTCTACACAATCTGAATCAGGCTGTCACAGCTGGCCATTAGAGGCTTAAAAAGACACACACACGTACAACAAATAGCACCAACTTTCAGTTATTGAATATCAGAACCTGCTTGATGAGAAAACCTAACAGCATACACCACTCTTTACTTTGGCGTAAACAAATGCAGTGTCTCCAAAGCCCTGTTCAAGTGTGGTGGCTGTTTATTTTATATTGATTGCTGATCGTGTGCTATTATTTATGAGCACAGGATGAGAAGGGACTTTGTGGGTCAGGAGATCCAGTCCTTGATAATCCTGAGCATTGCAATTTATAATCCTCCTCATTACCTTACTCTTCTTTAATGAAAACAGTCCCTTGGAGTTTGAACTTGTCCTTGCAGATGTTTGCCTGATATGCTTTTCTTGGCGTGGAGGAGCAAGCACCAAAACTTGCCTCTTTGAAGGGCAGCATCACAACTAGAGCGGGGCAAAGAATGCTGCTCATGAAAAAGGGATTTTCTGAAGCTGTTTACCCTCCAGTTTTGCCTTTCCTGGTGGCAGCATGTGCAAATTCTGCTGACTTAGCATTCAGTTTGGGTGTTAAAAGATGGATGATTGCAAAAGTTAACTTTCCAATTTCAAGTAAAACAGGATCAAACAATTCCCTGCCTTGCTTTTTGTATATGGAGACAGGTCAGATTAGTTTCTGCTTAGTCAACTGATGGTTATTGCAAATGTAACGTTGCTCTGTCTGGTTGCGCTAGGTTTTAAACTTGCTGTAGGATTACATTTTGCACAGCTGAGCTTTAGTAGGCCTTAGTCTGTAGTTTATTTTGGACAAAAGGTTGATAAACTTTGGCTCTCAAGGAGGAAGCCTGGAATCTGAAACCCGCTATTATTCATTGACTTGTCTTTATGAGTTTACAGTCCACTGATGCATAACACCGAAGGAAATATTTTCAGTGAAATGTTTGCTTTTTTCTTTGGCTTTGTAAAATGCAATGTCTTTTCTTAGAGAGATATGTCAGGGTCATATAGCTACTTCAGTGAACTGTGTATGGTCAGGAAATAGACAGCATTGAAAAGATTTCATTTTTCCATGAAGTGAGTCTTTTAACTAAGACTTCCCCCCCCTCCTCTCTCCGGGTTTTGGTCTTTCATTAGCCACTGTTTGAGAATTAGTGTTATGTACAAACCAAGTTTAACTGTGGAAGGGAGATTTTGATTGTATGGAACAGTTTATTTATTTTTGTATTAAATCAAAATTTGCACACTAAAGCAAACTGGTGAAACAAAACTCCACTGGTAGATATGGGAATTTTCTTGGCTGGCGTTTTTCTGTCCTCTTTTTGCTGAACCAAAATATATGTTTTGTACTTCCCTGCTGCTGTTGATGGCACCACAAAGTTGGCTACTTAGTGCGACAGAGAGACCAACTCTGCAAGCTTTCATGACTGACACAACAGATCTAATGCTTACACCTTAGGATGTGCTTACATGTTTTGCTGTACTGGGGCCTGTACCAGCTCTGCTCCCTCAGTGGATAGTCAGTAGGATGATTGACTTTGTCCGAGTTGGGATTACTAATGTAAACACGGCTTTGTTGGACCAAACGTGCAGATGTTACATGTTACTACTGCAAACTGTTTATGAGATGTTAATGTCCATTTCTCTTTCTCCACAGGTTCTTCTTGAAATTTTTTCTCAAATGTAACCAAAATTGCCTAAAAAATGCAGGAAACCCTCGAGACATGCGTCGATTTCAGGTCAGTTGGACGTGCTTCCTCTTAAAAATCAGTAGCTGTTAGGGATAGAAGTACTTTGACCCAAACTAACTGAGTAATTCACTGGGAGATGCTAAAAAAAAATAAATAATAAGACAACAGAATGTTGCATGAGGGCTTCTCATCACAGCAGAATTGGCAGGAAGTAGTTGGGGTTTCTTCCTCTGGGCAAGAAAACTCTCGAAGATAAAGTCATCTCCATATGAAACGAAAGTCTGAAAAGGAAAAACAAAATGACCTTGCTATTTTTTTAAGTTATGAGGCAACCTAGCTCCTAGGTTCTCCGTTCTACCTGGAAAATTGTTTGCCTTCGTGTAAACATGTCAAACTAAGAAAGCATTGTCTTTATTGGAAAGGGCAGAGGAAGGTATAAGAGTAATTCATCAACAAAATCAAGCTCATGATTTTGCTTACACTTCAGGAATTATTTTTTCTGCAGCACTGAAGACTCATAAATGTGTATCAACGTAGTGATGGTCCATCCCTGTAGTCAGTCCTGTTATGTATATCTTTTTTGGGATATTTTGGACTGAAATTTCCCTACTGTTGCAGCATGTTGGAGTAGGGCCCAGGAGCTATGGTGTCAACATGGCTTCAGGTGGCCAAAGACATTTTCTTATGGTACCCATATGCCCATGACCACTTTTGTGGTTAAGAACAGCAGTATCCCTTGGAAAGACAACCTGTGCTTGCCTTTCTCAGTGTTGGCAGCAGAGAATTGTATGGTGGCAACATTAAGAGTGGTCGTTCCAAGCCCTGTATTGGATATGTGGTCCTTTGACTGTGCCAATGATTCTTTACCTGAGTATCGGCTGAATTAAACTATGGTATAGACAGCCAAAGGACCTTTCTTTTTGATGGGAGGCATAGGTAGAGCACAAAGAGAAAACACGACATAGTCATTCAGTGGGGATTTGCCACTGGGAGCTGAGGAAAAAATAGGAGGTTTGTCCCCTTGACCCCATGGGTCTCTGGAGCAAGAAGATTCCAAAAGATACCTGCTGCTTTCTGCAGTAGCTCAGAATTTTTGTTTGTTTCTTCAGGGCACTGTGGTGCTTAAAAGTGCTAAATGATATGTAAATGGCAATATTATTTACATGTAAAACATATGTCTTTTGTTGAACTGCTTAATTGCAACAACACTGGAAGTCAGGAGGGTGTTATTTGCCCCTCAAAGCATAGATGTGCAGAAGGGAGGAGATGTGGCCGCAGGGATTAAATTAATCAGTATAAAAGCTAGCATTAGCATGGCAGAGCCCTTGACTTCTCACCCCATGTTCTTCCCTGTCACATTTCTCCCATGATTCGAGAGGGCATTATCAGTGAAGGAGAAAGTGGAAAAAGGACTCACCAGCATGGGGATTTAGGCCAAGCAGTCACCCCTGGGGCCTGTCAGAGCTTGCTTCACAACATGTACACTCTGCTGGGTTTGTGCTCATCCAGGCTAGAGGCTGATTTTCATATGGTAATGTCTTTGCGTGTTCTCTCAGAGCAGCAATCAGGAGCCTGTGTCGGTGAGTAGGTAGGACATAGGAAAGGTTGTTGATCTCTTGACTTGTAAAGACATTCTGTCATACAAACCCAGCTTCACAGCAGTTGAGCTTTTCGTGTGTAAACAGAGACTGCTTAATTACACAGGTCATGTCAATTAGTGTGACCTTAGCATTTTCAAGAAATTAATCACTTTCAGCAGAGTGAACCACTCATACTATAATACAGGGTGGTATTGAAGCTTGCAGCATTCTGTTAAGTGCCCAGGCTTATTGTTTTACATTGCCTTTTTTTTTTCTTTTTTCTTCTTCTTCCTTTTTTTTTTTTTTTTTTTTAATATGTCAAACTTGTTCTTTTAGCAACAGACTTCTTAAAATAAAACAACCACACTACAGAATCCAGGCTTCATTTTTCGTTTCTTGGGGTGAAAAGGACCACGTATACACATAGTATCTTGATAATATGATGCACCTAGGTGTTTGAGACAGTGTTGTATAGGAACCAAATGAAATCTAGGCCCTTGTGAAGTGAGTAGAGTGTTTGTCATCAGCTGCTTTGTGCTTTTGAAATTCTCCCAGTGACTCAAAAAGTCTGTCTTAAAGTTATGTCAAAGGTATGGTTAAAAACATGAGACTAATGCATTTCCAAATACTTTTTGGATAGTAGCACACACTTTTCACAGAAAAATTGAGACTTTCCATTCCTTTACTTTATTCCCTCAGCTGTGCTGGACTGTCAAGCTGCCTGGAGACTTTTCCACCTTTTGGCATGGTGTCAGTTTCCTGTCTCCCAAACTTGCTAGGAGTTATTAGAACAGAGCTTGTGGTTTTGGTGGGGAGACAGTGAAGGGCCAGGGGCATGAGTCTTGTACCATCTAAGAATAGGTCATGCTGAAAATTTCCTTTCTTAATAGTTTTATTTCCTGCAACATGGAATTGTCTGACTGTAGTATGGTCTAAGACAGATTAAGAAAGCACAGGGAGGAGGCAGAGTATGTGTTGATTCAGGACCTGCATGTGAGTCTTCATCCACGTATAGAAGTGAATTAGGAAGTTTTATCCTGCACTTTGCTTGCAAATATACTAGTGAAATAGGCCTAACATAAAAGCAGTTGTGGGCCTGGAAGAAAATACATTTCTCTGTATGTCTGAGATGCCCAGGCATGTGACAACTCAGTGCTGTATATCAGCAGGGTCAAATGCCAGCAGAAGTGTGTTCTGGAGCAGTGCTTGCCCTGGCTGTTTTAGCTGTGTCTCTAGCAGCAGAGAGAGACAGAGAGAAAAAGTAAAGTACTGTCTATGCAAGGACCCAAGACTTGAGTTGAGTATTCAGCTATGCTACAGACTCCTCATTTGTTCTCAAGAAAATTACTTCATCTCTGTATTTCGTCAGTCCTATTACACAAAACATTTGGCAGTGCCACTTATTTTCTCCTTGCTCCAACCTTACCTTTTTATTCCAAAAACCCCATGAAGCAGATGCTCAGTCTGTTTGTGCATTCTTTGTCACAAGTCATCAGTCTTGGTGGGATGGGCTGTAGAGCCCCAGGCAGCAGTAATAGTAATAAGTAGGCTGTATCATGGGTAAATTCTGGCCAGATTTTGTTTTTCAGCACTCACACAACCTAAACAGTTTTGTGTATTATTGTAATTAATGAAACCCAGGTGCCCCAGTTATCTTGTTCTTGTTTTAGCACAACTGCTTGCAAACTGACACGTCAAGTTTTAATTTAGAGGAAACTTTTCAGACTGAGTCACTGTATAAAACCCCAAACATTTGTTTATTATGAAAACCTTGAAAGTCACTTGGAAATTGCCACACTGTTTGATGCTGTTAGCACAAGCTCTTCCCCAGCACAGGCTGCTAGTTTGCCTCCATGGGATGCTGCCACTCATGTTTGAATTGAAGCCACTTGTGTCTTATTGCAAATTTGCATAAGAGAAAGAGATGATGCTTCATGAATCCCTGATAATGGAATTTGGACATGCAAGGCTTCATCCCCAGAGAAGGTAAAGGCCAAAAAAAAAAAAAAAAGTCTGGAAAATAGCAGTGAGAGTTGTGGCCCAATTCAACAAGATAATTAAGCACCTGGCCTGGCCTTGTGCATGCGAGCAAAATTACTGAATGTATTGTACTTATGTGCTTTAAGTTAGACACGTTTTCAAATGTCTTATTAAATTGAAAGAAATTTTTAGTTACTAGTATAAAGAAGTCAAGACACTTTAGGAAGAGGTCACCAAGTGGTGGTAAAAATAAAGACGTTGCTCAAGCCATTTTTACATAGCTTTCAGAAGAGCAGCAAATGCAGGAGTTACAGTTTTAACACTAATGACACAGTTTAAAGCTGGAAATCATCTTAATCCGATTTTCTCTGCCTTTGCCACTGGATGTTGGGGACATCACAAAAATATCAGAACCCTCACTATACACTGGAGAAAATTGAAAGCACAAGGAACATGCTATGTCTTAATCAGTTAGCAAAGCTTAATGGGCTGTGGTTAAAAATGAGGAGTCATGCAATGCTTAATTTTGATATATTAGGTGAGGTACTATAACAAATAAACAGGCTGAGTGCTAAACGTGGATAAATAGCTTGATCTACAGGCTCCTGGTCTCAGAATATTTTTTTTTTAACTAAGCTCCAAAGCATTCACAACCGAACTATTTAATGGCAGGCAGAATAATTCATAGAGTTGTGATACGTTAATGCAGTTGATAGTGCCAACTTCATTGAACAAAGTTATAAACCAATGTGTTTCTTTCATACCCCTGTCTCCTCCGATGTTGATACAGGATTTAAATTCAAAATCTATGAAGGGCTGAAGCTAAAGCTCAAAATCGTTTTCCATGTTTGCCTGTCCCAAATTAAAACTGTGTTTTGTTGACAAAATTTGGAAAGGTTTGAGATTTGGCAGGCCTGCTTGTCCCTGTGCTTACATTAATGTGTCAGCACCTCATTAATCATTTATTAAACTGTAGTGTGCCTTTCCCTCTTGCTATGGTCTGTGTTTTAGGATGCCTCAGTGCCCATTCCACATCTACTTTGGCTCTCCCCTCCCCCTAATTTTATGATTTCTCCACAAATTAGTTTTAGCATGTGCTTTGACTTGAACATATCCGAATCATTTCAAAATCAAAATGAGAGTGTAGTATTTTTTTAGATTAAAAAATATGAGCAGAACTTGTAAGTATGTAAGTGCTCTGCAGCAGTCCAAGTATGTAACTGTGGCACACAATATTCAAGGTGTATTTTTTTCTCTGTTAATAATTAAGGGTATTAATATTTCGTTAGGGCAGTATATCTTCAGTATTATTGAATTAATGAGATTTTGTGTTTAAAGCAGTAAGCAGTTTTTGCTGTTTCTTACAAGTGCAGTATGAATAATCATTTTTTTTTTCAGACAGACACATAAGAGTAACCACTTTTTTTTTTTTTTTTTTTTTTTTTTTTTTGCGTTTCCTGACACTGGAAACAGTTTCTCTTGGGGATTCCTTTTATAGTTTCTTCTGCTAACGACACTGAAGAACCACACCAATGTGGTCTCTTTGTAGTAAATCAAACTCAGGAGGCAGGTAGGAAGACACTGTTAAGTAATTCAAAATCTGTCACATCAAGAATTTTGGAAACCTGAGGGGGAAAAATCAAATACAGCTTTACTCCCATAAAAGTGACCTCACTAGGATTGTTTCCATGAGTTCTTCCCTAGAAATGTGCATGGATAGAGACAGCTACTTACATACACGTCTTTCACAAGTCTGAGACCTGTCTTGCTATTATTACTCTTGAATTGTTAGTTTTTGGAATGCTTTTTCTAGAAATGTTCAAAAGTTTGGGTTCCATCACATGATTGATCAGCTTCAGTGGGTAATATGTATGTACCTCTATGTGTTTTGGGTTGGGGGAAATATTTGACACTGTAGTTTTTATTAATTGCAATAGTATTAATTTTCTTAGCAGACCCATAGAATAAGATAAGGGGGAGGTATAAATCATGGAGCTATGACAGGCAATGTCAGCTAAGGATTTGGCTCAAAATCCCAGTTGCAAAGAATTTACAATGGATGCAAGTGCACAAATAAGATTGCAAACCCTGAGCCACTTACTATAAGATCATATTTTATTGAAAATATCATAAACTTTATTCTATCCCTCAGGAATGCAAAGGATAAATTACTTTTGAAATCCCTTTTGGAATTTTATATATAGGGCTTTTTTTTTTTTTCTCTCTCTTTTTTTTTTTTTTTTTCCTAGTTTGATTTCAGAAGAACTTACCTACAGTACTTGGTGCTTTCTTTTTCCCAAATTTCCATCTGTAAGAGGTCTTGAATCATTTATTCTGTATTTTAATATCTTTCACTTACAACACACGCAAAAATCTATTGCCTGGAATGCCATTCTGAGGAACAGTTTTAAGATCCTTTAGATGTAAACTATTCTCTTATGTATTCCTCTTTTTAGAGACAAAACTTTGGGATTAGTTATAGGCATCTGAGCAGCTTCACTTACTTTGTATTTTTAAGCATTTTATAGGTGGTCAGAAGTAGGTGGAAAATATTTTGTTTAAATTTTTAAATCCAATTCAAGTGATGAAATTGAAATGTTGTAAGCGATCCTTTAAGTGTCCCCATTTGACCAACTTTGAGAGGCAGCAGCTTCCTGAGAGAGTTGAAGCAATGTTTGCCAATCCTTGTAAAGCATTTCACCTCTTCAGAGGCTAAAGCCTCTCAAAACCAAGAACAATTAAAGCAAGAGCCTTTCAGAGCGACTGGGGAATTCAGCAAAATAAATCAGAAATCCTCTGCCATGGCTCTGGAGGCTTGCCTCATTATAAGAGCAGATCTATTAGCCTCCTTGCCATTGTCTTTCATTTCTCAAGTGAGGTGATTCTAATTAAATTAATCTGCATGTCAATCTATCGGTGATCAATCAAAAGGGCTGAGGTCCCCCTTTGCGGCAGTGTGCTTGCGGCTGACAGGGGCTGATAATGGAGGAAGAAATAAACTGTCGAGCAAAGTTAATTAGTCAACATAATAGGTGGATTAAACAGGAGCTGCTGATTGCTGTTTCACATGTCGAAGCATGAGGTGGGAGCTGAAACTGCAATTAACAGACAATTATTATATTTGGTTGTAAGAGGTCGCATGAATAAACATATCTCTGTGGGTTTCAGTTTTTAATCCCTTTCCCTGTTTAATGTAAGGAGAAGTGTAGGTCATTTCTTCTGATTGTTTTAGTGGAAGTTCTCGAAGGCAGTGTGTGCTCCTGGCAAACCAGCAGCCGGCTGAAGGCCAAACCCTTGGCTGGGGTAGAACCCTGATAATGATGTACTTTCTTGGGAAAAGGCAGTGGGAGGGGGCAGCTGAACGAAAGCCAGGGAGGCTGTGACATTGCACGGTTGGAGCGGTGTGGAAGGAGACCTGGGTTAGGAGGAAACTTCGGGTGATGATTTTGCGGCTCTGTTGGGAACTTGTCCTGCTCACCCCCTGCCGTTTCCTCCACTACTGATGGTGCCCTCAGCCTGAACAGGGATTTCCTCTTGAATAGTGTCTGCTGAGCCTCAAGGTTCAGAGGTCCCTCTGGACCCCTGCGAGCACTCGGGGCACCTAACTCCCAACACTTACCCATTTGCTCCCCTCAGACTGGCTCCTCTCCCATCCTGGGTTGACCCCGGGTTGAAGAATCAAGCCCTGTCTCCAGGGCAGGGCTCCACCACCTCACCTTGCACCAAGTCACAGGTGTTGACATTGAGATAAATTAGGAGATACAAATAATGCTAATGCTGGTTGAATAGATTTATGTTTCCCAGGTAAAATACCCACTGTCAAGTGTGCATGCATATACGAACACATCTATGAGTACCCTCTAAGATAGAGCTCAGGAAAAACAACCTGTAGTGACTGTACAGAGTAGGGAGAAGTGTAGATGGGGGGCAGGAGGGAGGAGGAATGCAACAACTGTAATTGCAACTTCACAAACTACACTTTTGTTTTCTTTTATTCTGAATTGATTCTCATTTGCAATGTCAACAGCTCTATCTACTTCAGCATGGAAACTGAAGGATAATTTAGGGTGAAACACAGCTGCCCTTGTACATACGGGAAAAATACTTAATAAAGATCCTCTTGTTAAAATGATGGTTAACAGTGTGCCGTCTGCCATGCAGCTACAAACTCTGCAATTTGACTTAAAACTGCATCAAAAGCTTTCGATGCCAAAGACCCACTCATCAATAGCGTCTCTTGTTAGATTTGTACAGCATAAGCACCAGTTATTATGTGAAATAGCTATGCAATTTTCTACAGCTCCCAGCTGTTATTTATTTAACTGAGTTTATTACACTCTGTGCTTAAAAAACATACATATGTATCCGAATGTTCCTCCATTTTGCTCTTGTGCTTGCAGGTTGTGGTGTCTACAACAGTCAATGTTGATGGCCATGTGTTGGCAGTGTCGGACAATATGTTTGTGCACAACAATTCTAAACACGGGCGGAGAGCTCGAAGACTCGATCCCTCGGAAGGTACGCCTTCTTATCTGGAACATGGTAGGCATATCATTTTCATTGGTTGGCATTGCTATTTTAAATGTGGATTTATTTGGTTTCTGTCTCTGACTACTGGTTTCAAGTTGTTGTATAACAATCATTCCCTTTGGGACTGGCCTCCAAGTGGAATTCTTCCACTAGGTCAGCACTAACTGTAGTTAAATGACAAACTAGTAGACAAATATGGGTGCAGAATCTATTCTGTGTGTTTGTGAAGTACGGTGATTTTTTATTTATTTTTGGGTTGTGTCTGTTTGGTATCCAAAATTGACCTTTTCCAAAATGCCTTGATTTTTGACTGTGCATCTAAAGGATGTTGCATATTTTCTGAAGTGCTCAGCACCTAAATTTGGGATTGGATTACTACTATCTACAGATTGCAGAGCTCTCTAGGAGATCCAGCTGTTTCTTTGAATTGTTATAATGAAAGCAGAGCCCTTTTGGAAATCCATCTGCTTACTCAAGCCATGGACGAATGTTCTCTTCTGGCTCCAGCTGTGCCAGCTGAGGAAGTTGCTGTTCCTCGCATGCCACAGCTGCTGCCCTCTCCTCCCTGCTGGAGGCTAATCTCTACCATAGACATGCCAGCCAAGATAGTCTGATCACTCCTTAATCTCCTTCAATCTAAAGTAGTCCATTTGAGCTTAACAGTTTCAGCAATAACTCTTTGCCAGTCTGGCTTATTTTGCTGAAATGTTTGAAGGAGAAATGGTGCAAGGCAATTTGGCTGGCTTGTTTGAAAACACAGTGAGCAGCAGTAAGGGTGGAATGGGGGCTGTGACTGGGAGTAGCCTTGAGGATAGTAATCTTTTCCAGAAAATCAACTGGTCCTGGAAGAGAATATCTGCTGGTGAATGTAGGTGCTTAAAATGGGAGTTGTTGAGTACAAATGCACTCTGAAAAATCTGGATTTGATTAACATTTTGTTTTGCTCTTTCTCCTCTTTGACTACTACTGGAAATAAAACAAAACAACAAAATAACAAACACCAAAAACAGAGGGCATTTTACTCCCTTTTCCCTGTTCCAGCTTGGTAGAAAAGCTCTTTGTCTTCAAAGCTGTTTGTAATCCTAATTCAATAGGTGCTTTCTCCCTCTAAGAGATGTGTACCCTCAGACTCCATTGAAGTTGTTGAGTGTAGAAGGCTCTAGTCCTTTATGCTGCTTTGTTTCACAAATATTTGCCAAGGATCTGATGAATAATTAAATAGATTTTTCCAAAGAGTTTGAAGAAACCAGATAAAATTTTCTCCAGGAAAGTGAGTGACACTTAGAAATAATGTTCAGTAGATATGTTAAAAGAAATTATTAATAGTGAGAAATGGGCAAATGTATGAATTTCTACTACTCAGTGGATTCCTGTAGAAATAGCTTTCTATTCTGTTCCTGCTTTCAAGCATCAGTCCTGCAAGCACTTATGCATATATTTAAGATTATGTGCACATATGGTCCTGTTGGGATCAATGAGGCTTCTTGTGTCAGTAAAGTTGAGGGTATTGATAAGTGTTTGCAGAATCAGGTCTGTAGTTCACACTTACTAACCTAAAATTCTTAGCTCAGCAGCGTTTCTCATTATATAAACATAACTTACATCTGTATTTATTTAGCTCTAACTTTTTATGTAGGCTACGAGCCATTTTCAGCTATAATTCATGTTATAGAATTTTTTTCATCCTGCCAACAACCTAATTTAATAAACAAACCACTGTCATAATTTTTTTTGCTGAATTTTTGTAAGGAATGTACAAACTCTGTCTTTATTAATTACCAGGAGGCAGAACATTACAAAAGGAAACTTCACTCTGTGCAACTTTGTAATCTTTCCATTAAGTCTAGTCTTTCAAAACCCTCTAATGTTTAGCTTATATTCCTGCTAGTGTAGGATTTTTTTTCCCCATTGCAGTCTTCTCAGCGCATGCTTTTGGTCAAGGCAATACTTATTTTCTCATATTTATAAACATTCCTATTTGTGTGCATGGTGTAATAGCATCCCATTTTACCACTCCTATTACCTGAAAGATTCTGCCAGCAAAAAGAAGCAAAAAAAGATAATACTATGCTTACGTATTTATACAAACTCTGGTTACTGTGCTACCATTAAAAGCTAACATCTGCAAACTATCTCCATGTGTACATTTGGTGGGAAAGGTGATTTTTCTGATCTACTTTCTCAGACACCTCTTAAGCAACCTCATAAAGCCACCACTAATAAATTCTTACTTTTGAATGTAACCTCCATACTGCAAAATTACACTTTTCCCAAAGGCTTGGTGGAGTCTTTCTTTTTAAGCTAAATCTTCTAATCCATCTCTCCAGGAATTCTGTGCATATTTGTGTCCCAGGAGATGGCAAAATAAATAATAATAATGAAAAAAATCCAGTAACTGTTTTAAATGTCAGTATCGAATGTCTAAAACACTTAACTGAATGAAAAAAGTGGGCAAAGTCTCAACTGGGCTTAATGCTGTTGAATTCTGGGCAACCACCAAGAACTTCAGACCTGTTGGAACATATGAGAGTTTCCTTCACTGAAATTAATTTTCAGTTTTACTTTGAGTCTCAAAGTATATTATTATCCTCCTGGTTTTGCAATTTTTATCTTGAATAATATCTTCATGTGTAAGTAGAAAAGACTGCTTGTTTGCCTTTCCTCTTTCCAGCTTTCCTTGCTCCTTCAGGGGGGAGGACAGATTGACCTAAACAATATTTGTAAACGGTGAATCAGAAACTAACAGAGACATGGCTTGTTTGTCTCTGGTTTACAGCTCTGCTGAGCAACTTCTGGTCACAGGTTTTGAAATGCTGGAGTCTAGCTATGAAATGCCCTTGACCAGATGTATTTCTGTGCACTTTTCTAGATACTTGACTCTTTAAATTAATTATTATATCACAATAGTGATGAATACCTGACTGTGAGAGGACTGAGACTGGGAAAGAGGATGTATGATGAAGGAGTGCTGGTTGCCTAGTTTCATTAGATCATATCCAGTTTATTTTTCCTTCCAAAGCTGTGTTGGGACATGCTGCTCTTTAAGATGGAGCTGCAGCTTAAGTGACACCTAAAAAAGCCTTTGAATGCCAAAAAGCTAGAAAGGAAGCTTTACCTCCTGAGCCACTCAGGAGCCTAGTGTCTCCACATCTGGGTTTTTACCATCTCATTAGTAGGTAGCCTGGATTATTTTTGGGACATGCAACACATCTCTATTTATATCTTGCTTGTCAGGCAGTAAAAGGAAAGTTCCTTTTCGTAGCTCATATCTCTGAATGTAACTAGGAACCTAGATCATGGTTTCATTTCCACACACTGTCCTCCTTGAAACCAGTGGGTTAAGAAGCTCATATTTCAAATAAATATATCTATCTTTCAAGAGTAATAGCTGGCAAAGGCAAATTATTTCATGCATCTCTGTGTGGTATAAATAGGGTAAGCCACAGCAATCTGTGGTTTTCAGTAATTATCACTTTTTCATTCACAAATAGTTGGATCCTCACTTGTTTTATATTTATGGTAAACCAGAAGGCTGGTGTGGTTGACCTTTCTAAATTGTACACATATATTAAGATATATAGTGAAGAGCCAATAGGCCCCAACCAGCAAAGTATGTTTCAGCTTGTAGTTCGTCCCAGGGTGTCAATTTTAAAAGCAGAATCTTTCCAATGCAATTTAAGTGATAGCTTATGGAAGGGGGAGTTCTGACAGGGTTTGCAACAACCCTTTTCAAGTTTACCAGCATGAAGTCCACTACTGCAGATGTCTGCAAAGTTTTCAGTTATTACTGCAAAATAAAAAAAATCTTTTTCTCCCAAATCTCTGAATGGTTCTAAAAAAATGTAAAGCCAATTGCAGCATCAGTTTCTCTATTATTTTTCCTCACTGGCAGAATGCAATGCCCTCGAAAAATGATAGTCCCTGAGACCCTGTCAGTTTGCATGCTCTAACACTTTATTATCTAATGATCTAATATGCAACAAGGCAAAGAAGGGGGTGCTTATCACCCTGACAGGATGCCTAAGAAAAGTGACTAAATTACTTTATGTACCATTAGCGCTAGCTGCCACGGTGAACTCACTGTGAGCATTTATGCAAATATTCCTGAATACATTCAAGTGGCCTTGTCAGGAAGACGACTGACAAGCAGCTTAAATGCTTGTATTTTTTTTTTTTTAAAGGGACAGTTTTATTTCTTTCTTCCTCCTCCTCATCTGTAGGAGAGCACCAAAGAACTAGCTGGTGCTGAGGTTTGGTGGTGATTTGGTTCTGAGTCAGCTCAACAGCAGCAAAAGAGAAAAGATTCAGGGTAGAAGGAGACAAATTACGAGACGTGGCATCAGAATTTGAAGATGGAAGCAAAGACAATCATGATTTCTAAAACAGTGTCCAGACATTGTTTTAATATGAAATATTAAATATTTCGAAATATAGCGATCTTTATATGTATATGTAGAGCCATCGTTAGTGGCTGCCTTGTAGTAGAAGTTATAGAAAATAGCTGGATTATTTGGTTCTTATATTATGGCACCCAGAGCCATCAAGCTTTTGCTATATTGTTTTAGTTCATGGTAATAATGAATGATTCAGACTATTTGCTACCTGCAGGTGCAAAACATTCCACAGTACATGAAAAGCAGTAGTAGCTGTGACTCAGCTGGGTACATAGGTAGATCCTCTTGTGAGCAGTGGGGCATTTAAAGAGGTTTGCTTGCCATTCCTGCCCACCCAGGCAATCTGAGATCTCATGGACACCACAGTGTGCATATGCACTGATTTGCCACTAAACCTTTAGAATGAGAGAACAGCAACAACAAAATAATAATAATTAAAAAATGCTAGGCTGTGCCTTAGTAGACTATTTTTTCTATTTTGGTTAATAAGAGGGAAAGCTTTTTTTTTTTGATTCAACCCGGAATGCCTGGGTGTTGCACGTGTCTGTGCTTGTTGAAGAAATTGTTAATATTAGAATATTGACTGAAGGCAAA